TGGAACTGATGGCTTCTTGTAGTAATTATTTTTTGACAAAGAAGGCACTTTGTATTCTTCTTTAGGAACTGAGGGCACCTTTGAAACATATGGTACTTTTTTGTAGCTATCTTCTGAAACAGATGGCTTCTTAAAGTAGTCAAATTTTGGTAAGAATGACTCTTTATATTCTGGTTTAGCCATCGAGGGTTCCTTGGGAACATACGACTGCTTCTTGTAGTTGTCTTCTGAAACCGATGGCTTCTTGTAGTAGTCATTCTTTGTCAAAGATGGTACCTTGTATTCCGATTTAGGCACTGTGGGTACTTTTGAAACATATGACATCTTCTTGTAGTTATCTTCTGGGACGGATGGTTTCTTGAAGTAGTCAAATTTTGGAAAAAAGGACTCCTTATATTCTGGTTTAGTCATCGAGGGTACCTTTGGAACATATGACGCCTTCTTGTAGTTATTTTCTGGAACTGATGGATTCTTGAAGTAGTCAAATTTTGGAAAAAATGACTCCTTATATTCTGGTTTAGTCATCGAGGGTACCTTTGGAACATATGACGCCTTCTTGTAGTTATTTTCTGGAACTGATGGATTCTTGAAGTAGTCAAATTTTGGAAAAAATGACTCCTTATATTCTGGTTTAGCCATCGAGGGTACCTTTGGAACATCTGACGCCTTCTTGTAGTTTTCTTCTGAAAATGATGGCTTCTTGTTGTAGTCATTCTTTGGCAAGAATGGAACCTTGTATTCCTGTTCGGGAATGGACGGTACTTTCCTATAGTTATCTTCTGAAACTAATGGCTTCTTGTAGTAATCATTTTTGGCAAAAATGACTCCTTATATTCCTTTTCCGACTCTGAGGGTGCCTTTAAGTCTTCACTTTTGACTACTGTGGTTGGTACTTTATTGTATGTTGAATCTGATGATTCATAAGAATATGGTGAATATGCCATAGTGCATGTGGCAATCAAGAAAAATGCCAAAGCACAAGCAAATTGCTTCTTCATTTGGCTTCCCATTGAGGAGGGTTGGATTCTAAGGCTAGATATTGGTTTGTTTTTCTTTTTCTTGTGTGTTTTAGAATGGAGGAATTAAGAGTTTATATAACATAACTAAGAAGTTGATTTTCCCATTTTTTTGTTAATGCTCTTCCACTAATTAAGGTTATGAGATAATGGGAAGCCATGAACAATTCATACACAGTTGCTGGACTTACCTATTTTAATATTTAAATCCAATTTTTTATTGAATTTTAAGAATGTTGTTCTTGTGATTTTGTTGGCATATTAAAAAATTTGATTAAATTAGTTTTTAAAAGTTGAGATATGTGGAGGCATAACAAATATTGTTCATTATTTGGTATCCATTAGTTATATGTACTTGTTTAGCACGATTTATAATCCCCATCATGACAACATACTTACTTCATTTTGCTTTTTTTGGAAATTTCCTGAGAAATTCATAGTTACTACTGTTCGTCTGCACACTGGATAAATCCGATTATATACAATATCTTGCAAATCATACATGAGATGTAAACTGCTCTAGGCGAGCCCGATGTGACAAATGAAGTGAAAAGGCTTTGGCAGAAGAAATCGATCTCTGGCCTCTCTAACCCTTGCGAGTACCATACATGCTTTTTCATTACCAAGAATGACAATATTTTGGGTTTGATTAGTTCTTGATACAAAGAGGAAAAATTAGAAGCTATTATTGTTTTTAACGTCATATATTTAATGTTTTTGGGTTGACTTAGTTAACTGTCTGTTATTTGGAACTTATTGACTCAGATTAATCCAAATTTACGTCTTTCTAGGAAAAAAACAGCTCTATGAGAGATTATTTCATTCCATTGGATCAAACCCTACCAAAAAGATAGTATTTGAGTCAATGAAATTATTTTTTAAAATTTCTCAAATATTATTTTAGAAGTTCTGGATTTAAAAAGTTTTATATTTTGACCTCAAAACTTCTGCAATATATATAGATCATATGCACATTTTATCATAAATAGTGTAACATTTATCTATCAATTTCTCTTTATCTAACTAAAACGAAACGATTCACTACTTAGCTCGCTTTATTTCTTTTATCTCTCAAGAATTGTATGTTTATAACAATACAGACCGTTTTTCTTCTTCTTTCCCATTCTAATAGATTGGACGAATTATGTCGATTCTTTCGAGTAATATATCTGGAAATGCACCCTACTCTTGTCTCTTGAAATCACCCAATCCTTAGTAACCTATTTTTTAAGTATCTGATGGTTGTTATGTTCTAGAGTTTTGTTATTAATAGTAAGTGAACAAATTGGCAATTGCTGGAAGAATAGATGAAAACAACATAAACTCTTAATAAAAAGAACTTGTGTTCAATTGACATAAACAATCCTCTGGAAATATTCAAAATACAAATAAAGAATTACAAATTTTGATAACATGCCTTCTAACTCATATATGTTGAGCGGGAGAAGGACTTCCTTGAAACATGTTTGGACATGAAAAATTAAAATTTAATAATATGGAGGAGGTGGTGATTGAGAAGGTGATGGTTTCTTGAAGTAGTCATTTTTTGGCAGAGACGACACCTTGTATTCTGGTTTAGGCACTGAGGGTACTTCTGGAACAGATGACACCTTCTTGTAGTTATCTTCTGGAATTGATGGCTTCTTGTTGTAGTCATTCTTTGGCAAAGAAGACATCTTGTATTCTTGTTTAGGCACTAAGGGCACCTTTAGAACATATGGCAATTTTTTGTAGTTATCTTCTGGAACTGATGGCTTCTTGTAGTTATCATTTTTTGGCAAAGAAGGCATCTTGTATTCTTCTTTAGGCACTGAAGGCACCTTTGGAACATATGACACCTTTTTGTAGCTATCTTCTGATGGCTTCTTAAAGTAGTCAAATTTTGGCAAAAATGACTCCTTATATTCTGGTTTAGCCATCGAGGGTTCCTCTGGAACATATGACGCCTTCTTGTAGTTGTCTTCTGGAACTGATGGCTTCTTGTAGTAGTCATTGTTTGGCAAATATGGTACCTTGTATTTTGGTTTAGGCACTATGGGTACCTCTGAAACATATGACACCTTCTTGTAGTTATCTTTTGGAACTGATGGCTTTTTGAAGTAGTCAAATTTTGGAAAAAATGACTCCTTATTTTCTGGTTTAGCCATTGAGGGTACCTCTGGAACATATGACGCCTTCTTGTAGTTATCGTCTGAAAATGATGGCTTCTTGGAGTAGTCATTCTTTTGGAAGAATGGCACCTTGTTTTCCTGTTTAGGAATGGATGGTACTTTTTTATAGTTATCTTCTGAAACTAATTGCTTCTTGTAGTAATCATTCTTTGGGAAGAATGGCACCTTGTTTTCCTGTTCGGGAATGGATGGTACTTTCTTGTAGTTATCTTCTGAAACTAATGACTTTTTGTAGTAATCATTTTTTGGCAAAAATGACGACTTATATTCCTTTTCTGACTCTGAGGGTACCTTGAAGTCTTCACTTTTGACTTCTGTGGTTGGTACTTTATCGTATGTTGAATCTGATGATTCATAAGAATAAGGTGAATATGCCATAGTGCATGTGGCAATCAAGAAAAATGCCAAAGTACAAGCAAATTGAAGCCATTGCTTCTTCATTTGGCTTCTTATTTTGAAGATTTGGATTTTAAGCCTAGATATTTGTTTGTTTTTGTTTTTCTTGTGTGTTTTAGAATGGAGGAATTAGCAGTTTATATAACATAACTAATATGGTGATTTGATGATTTGGATGCTCTCAAAATTAAATAATCCAAACATATCAAAGATTTTGCCATTTTTTGGTTATTGCTGTTCCACTAATTAAGGTTTTGAGATAATGGGAAGCCATGAACAATTCATACACATTTGCTGGACTCACTTATTTTCAATATTTAAATCCAATTTTTTATTGACTTCCAAGAATGTTGTTCTTGTTTTTTTTTTTTTTTTGGCTGGAATGTTAAAAATTTGATTAAATTTGTTTTTAAAAGTTGAGATATGTGTAGACCTAACAAATATTGTTCATTATTTGGTGTCTATTAGTTATATGTAATTGTTTAGCATGAGTACTTATAATCCACATCATGGCACCACACTCACTTTTTCTTTAATACTTTTTTTTTTTTGGAAATTTCCCGAGAAATGCACAAGTTCTACTCTTCGGGTTCACTCTGAATAAATCCGCTCATATGCGATATTTTACTAATCATATATGAGATGTAAACTGCTCTAGACATGTCTAATATGACGAACTTTTATGAAAAAGTGTTGGCATGATAAATTGATCTTTGTCCTCTCTTATCCTTGCGAGTACCATACATACTTTTCATTACAAAGAATAACAATATCTTAGGTTTGATTAGTTCTTGATACAAACAGGAAAAATTGGAAGCTATTGTTTTGAATGTAATATATTTAGTGTTTTTGATTTGGCTTAATTATTTGTTATTCGAATATTGACAAAGATTATTCTAAATTTGCATCGTGTATGGTCCATTATTTCCAGGAAAAAGGTGTTCTTTGAGAGATTACTCCATTTCCTAAGATCAAACCCCACCAAATAGATGATTAAGTCAATCAAATCCTTTTAAAGATTTATTTTTTAAGATTCTCAACATATTTTAGAAGTTCCGACTTTAAAAAATTTCTTCTTGAAGCTCAAAACTTCTGCAAAATAAATAAAATGCATTTTACGATTAGACGTATTTGTACAATTCTTTCGAGTAATATATCTGGAAATGCACTCTGTCTCTTGGAATCACTCAATCCTTTATTTACCTATTTTTGAAGTATCTGATGGTTGTTATGTTCCAGTGTTGTTCTATTAAAATTTAAGTGAAGAAATTCGCAGATGTTGGAAGAAAATAGATGAAACTAAATAAACTCTGAATAAAAAGAACTTGTATTTAATTGAAATTAACAATCTTTCGGAAATATTTAAAATACAATATAATTTAATTAAATAACAAAACAATTGCAACTCGAAGCGGGAATGGAAAATAAAACAAATAAAGAATTACAAATTTTGAGATAGAACTCATAATATGAGAACTCTATGAGTTATATATGTTGAGCTGGAGGACTTCCTTGAAACATGTTGAACATGAAAGATGGAAATTTAATAATATGGAGGTGGTGGTGATGGAGAAGGTGATGCCTTCTTGTAGTAGTTGTTTTCCGAAAAAGAAGGCACCTTGTATTCTTCTTTAGGCACTGACGGAACCTTTGGAACAAATGACACCTTTTTATAGTTATCTTCAGGAACTGATGGCTTCTTGTAGTAGTCATTCTTTGGCAAAGAAGGCACCTTGTATTCAGGTTTAGCAACTGAGGGTACCTCTGAAACGTATGACACCTTCTTGTAGTTATCTTCTGGAACTGTTGGCTTCTTGTAATAGTCATTCTTTGACAAAGAAGGCACCTTGTATTCTTCTTTAGGCACCGAGGGCACTTTTGGAACATATGACACCTTTTTGTAGTTATCTTCTGGAATTGATGGCTTCTTGTAGTAATCATTCTTTGACAAAGAAGGCACCTTGTACTCTTCTTTAGGCACTGAGGACACCTTTGGAACATATGTCACCGTTTTGTAGTTATCTTTTGGAGCTAATAGCTTGTTATAGTAATCATTTTTTGGTAAAGAAGACGCCTTGTATTCTTCTTTAGGCACTGAGGGCACCTTTGGAACATATGCCACTTTTTTGTAGCTATCTTCTGAAACTGATGACTTCTTGTAGTAATCATTTTTTGGCAAAGAAGGCACCTTGTATTCTTCTTTAGGCACCGAGGGCACCTTTGGAACATATGACACCTTTTTGTAGCTATCTTCTGGAACTGATGACTTCTTAAAGTAGTCATTCTTAGGCAAAACAGGTACCTTGTATTCTTTCTTAGGCACTGAGGGTACCTTTGGAATATATGACTCCTTTTTGTAGCTATCTTCTGAAACTGATGGCTTCTTAAAGTAGTCAAATTTTGGTAAAAATGACTCCTTGTATTCTGGTTTAGCCATCGAGGGTACCTTTGGAACATATGACTCCTTTTTGTAGCTATCATCTGAAACTGATGGCTTCTTTAAGTAGTCAAATTTTGGAAAAGATGACTCTTTGTATTCTGATTTAGCCATCGAGGGTACCTTTGGAACATATGACTCCTTTTTGTAGCTATCATCTGAAACTGATGGCTTCTTGAAGTAGTCAAATTTTGAAAAAGACGACTCCTTATATTCCGGTTTAGCCTTTGAGGGTACCTCTGGAACATATGACGCCTTCTTGTAGTCGTCTTCTTGAACTGATGGCTTCTTAAAGTAGTCAAATTTTGGAAAAAATGAGTCTTTATATTCTGGTTTAGCCATTGATGGTACTTTTGGAACATATGACACCTTCTTGTAGTTTTCTTCTGAAACTGATGACTTCTTGTAGTAATCATTTTTCGGCAAAAATGACACCTTATATTCCTTTTCCGACTCTGAGGGTACCTTGAAGTCTTCACTTTTGACTTCTGTGGTTGGTACTTTATTGTAGGTTGAATCTGATGATTCATAAGAATAAGGTGAATATGCCATAGTGCATGTGGCAATCAAGAAAAATGCCAAAGCACAAGCAAAATGAAGCCATTGTTTCTTCATTTGGCTTCCCATTTAGAAGATTTTGATTCTTAGCCTAGATAATCTTTTTTTTTCTTTTTCTTGTATATTTGAGAATAGAGTAACTAGGAGTTTATATAGCCTAAACTAAGAAAGTTACTTGATAATTTAGATACTTAAAATAATCCAAACATATTTGGTTATTGCTGTTCCACTAACATTTTTGAGATAATGGAAAGCCATGAACAATTCATACACCTTTTCTTGGCTCAATTATTTTATAAAATTAAATGCAAACTTTTTTTAAAGTTCTAAGGTCCCATAAGATATTATCCAAACTTTAGGAGGCTGAATGAACATTTTCTAAACTTCAGTATGTCTAAATGACAATTAACTAATTTCCCTTCTCCTTCTTCAATCGCCATTTTATCTCAGCACAGAGAATCGATATTTTTTTGTTGAAATTCTTACAAATCTTTTGTTTCTAGCAAATACTGAAAGTTCCAATTTTTTTGAGGTTTCAGCAAATCAAAGGTATTAATTTTTTATGTTGATTGAGTAGAAAAATTACTTTTTTATTCAAATTGAATGAATACCCATATATAAAGTATGTAAGATTGCCTTTTTAATAAACTTTAATTGACCCATAAGTTAAAATTGAATCAAATATGTGCATAATCAGATCTGGTTGTCTCTTTTTATGTATATATCTCCTTCATCTTTTGTTTGCTCAGTGCTTTTGGTTCTTCGTTTGATCTTACCTCTTGTTTAAACATATGTTTTCGTATTTGAGCTTCCTTTTTTGAACTGAATTTGGGGTGTTTTTGGTTCTTTGGTGGATTTGTAATTTTGAAGGTTTATTTTCTGGGCGTTTAGTGACTTTAGGGTTGAGCCGCCTTGTTTGTGTAGTGACAAGCTTACATTTTTTTTTAATGTAACTTGAATTCACACCCCTATATCAAGAATGAATGAATTTCTAGTTGTAGGTATCAACTTTGCATATCCATTAGATACCAAGTTTGCCTTTTTATTCAACTTGTATCGACCCATAAATCAAAAATCAAATTAGTATTGCTTGTATCGAATTGTGTAGAGGTTGGTTATGGATGGATTCAGGAGAGGTAGAGATAGACTGAAGTATATTGGGGAGAGGTGATTATACAGGACTTGGTGCAGTTTTGCAGCTTACTTATCTAAGGTGTGGAGGGTATGAAATAAGATAGTAGGTTAGTAGGTAGGAGTGTTTTGTCTTGTTGTCCTTACTAGTAGTCTAAAACTACAACCCTCTCCCCCCTGCCGCAATACTAAACCTGGCCCTGTGCTCAGGCTTGGCTAATTTGCAGCCTGCGGAAGGGCATTTGTGGTAGATGATAGAAAGGTGTGTCAACAGCCTCTGTTGGTAAGGCCTTATGAGCATGTTTTAATTTGGCAGGAGTTATCTAAGATGCTTTCAAGAATTGCGAAAATCCCACTTGTGAGTTCACATCCTGAGGTTTATGAACCATGTGATGATTCGTTTGCATTGGTCGATGCTTTATTAGCTGATCGAACTAACTTGTTACAACACAAACCCTCAATTTGTATGGAAATTGGTTGTGGTAGTGGTTATGTTATTACTTCACTTGCTGTTATGCTTGGACACGAAGGATTTGTTCCATACTATATTGCAACAGACATCAACCCTCATGCAATAAGGGTGACTCGTGAGACCATGGATGCTCATGGGGTTTATGCAGAGTTGGTAAACACTGATATTACATCTGGACTTGAGAAGCGATTGGCAGGATCAGTTGATGTGCTGGTTGTGAACCCTCCTTATGTTCCTACGCCTGAAGACGAAGTTGGTTTTGAAGGCATCACTTCGGCGTGGGCTGGAGGGGAGAATGGTCGAAGTGTTATTGATAAAATACTGCCTGCTGCCGACAATCTTTTGTCAGAGAAGGGCTGGTTATATATGGTCACGCTCACTGCTAATAAACCCTCAGAAATATGTCTTGAGATGAGAAAGAAGGGTTATGCATCTCGAATTATCCTTCAAAGATCAACTGAAGAAGAGAGCCTTCATATTATCAAATTTTGGCGAGATTCTGATAGCCAGTTGGAGCTGAATAATCTAAATTATTGGTCAAAACTGGTCGGGAATTAGCAAAAGGGTCTCATTTTGTCCTTTCATCGATTGTCCGTTGGGGAATATGCCACTAGCTGTTAATAGCATAGGAGGAAGTTCATCAACTGGATGTGGTAAGGCTCTCTTCTACTCTCTCTTTATTTTAGTGAAGTCACTTTTTTTCACATGGTTCGTTTAAAGCAATACAAGAAATGTGAAAAATTGAATTGCTTTTCGTTTTTGTGGTACTATTGTTCAGGTGGACGGGGTCTGTTATCTTTATTAAAAGGTTTCCTCAAACAAGCTGACTCGCGCTCAACTTTATCAAGTACCTGATTTGATGCCTAAAGTTGTATCTTCTTGGTTCTAAACACAAATTTTGAATAATTTGCTTCCATAATCTGCTCTCTTCGCAAAAAGCTAGTGCGTTAATATCTCACAATGCTGAAAGAATCAGTTGATGAATATGTTTGGACGGATATTATCTGGATTCTTGGCTGGTTCGTGTCTTGTTAATTTTCGTAGATTCTTACTATATCCATGTTGGTGAAAATTTCCAGCCCTTTGAAATATAAGTGCTTATTTTGCTTGTTCATTATGTCTTGAAGTTTATAGAATATCATGTTGAGAAGTAATTACTAATCAGAGTGATTACTTCAATTATTTCTGCAAATAAGATGCTTGTGACACAACTTCAGACCATGATTTCTTTGCTTGGACTCTCCAGAAATGTACTACTTTTGGAGGATCTGACACATCCCACGATGTTTTTGAAGAGCTCGAGCAGTGATTTCTGGTTTTGAACCTTTCTACCTAGTGGCATTACCCTACATGTTTCATAAAGAACTGTCATTAGTTCCTTTTATATACTAATGCAGCAAAAGTGTTGAAAAGTTGCATTCAGACAATTTTTCTTTGTACTGTTGCACGTCAGCAACCTTGAGAAGAGAAATTTATGAAGGGATATCCATGTTCTTTAGAAGTGTTCAAAAAATGTATTTAGACTGGGGTCGTTTGGTTCATGGACTAAGTTATGTCGGGATTACAGTTCTGAGATTATAATCCTCGAACTAATTTACCCCACATAACATCAAGTTTAATGTCCACCTTATCCCGTGAACCAAACGACTTATATGTATAGACTCAATATCATTCTTATTTGCATTACCTCATTTTGCTCTTCTAGTAAGTTCTCTTGTGAACAATTTGAAACAAAGTAGATAAATAGTCCAACATAAGAGGCTAAACACAAGAAGAAGAAGAAGAAACAAATAACTAAAAGGTTTCTGAATATAAAATTGCGACAAGCGAAGCTTGCTCAAATGGTAGTAATAATATCTAAAGTCATGATGTTCCAGTGGTTTAAGCTTGGGACTTGGGTCTCAAGTTCGAAATCCCTTGCCAACGAAAGCAGGGGCTTTGCCTTCTAGGTCGAGCCCGTCGCACCGGGCTTGCCTAGTGCGGGTTACCTCTCCTATGTGGTTTGCAAGCTATTGCATAGGAGCGGAGTTTTTACCCTGTGTGCACTCAAAGGACAGCGGTTGCGAATTTCCCTTGTCAGAAAAAAAAAAATCTCAAGTCATGAACCTCGAAAACACTCAAACTTGTTCGTGGCCCTCAATTTTACTACTCCCTCCGTTTCACAAAGAATGACCTGGTTTGACTTGGCATGGAGTTTAAGTAAATAAAGAAGACTTTTGAATCTTGTGGTTCTAAATTAAAGTTATGTCAAATGTACAAAATTGCCCTTAATCTTGTCTTCTTAAACATGTCACGTGGAAATCAAAAAGTAAAATGTTACCAAAAAAAGAAAAGAGGTCATTCTTTTTGAAACTGACTAAAAAGGAAAGGAGGTCATTCTTTGTGAAACGGAGGGAGTATTATCTAGACACAAGAACAATTACACATGGAGTATGACCACTTTTCCATTCTAAAAATTCTTATTTAACATGTGCAAAATTATGTAAATTACCATAGTTACAACTTATAAACTTAATAATACACATTTATTTATTAATTTGATGATGCATGCATCAAATCAAATCGATTAACTCACTTTCTCATTCTACCATAAAAGTATTTTTACTTTAAATAATTATCTCGAATTCACAAAAATAATTTATACATGAACTTTCATTTAATTGTATATACAACACAAAATACATGTATAATACACCTTTGTCATTCAAATTCCGCACATAACAAAAGCTTACATTCTTTGATCCAACTTTTTTTTTCGAGTATAAGTTAAGTGCAACAAACTTTTATTTTATTTTAAAAATGTATATATGATAATTTTGATTTTTTCCAAAAAAAAAAAAAGAGAAGTACGTGAATAAACTATATGGCCGACCTTTTACCGACTTTATCTCTAATTTCTCCTTTATAATATACTTCTCCTTTTTTTCCCATTTCTCTCTCTCTAAAACTCCTCATCCAAACACTTCCCAACACCCCAAATTCCCATTTCATTTCCATTTTCTCTCTCTAGAAATCTCTCAATCATGGCGGCGCAGAAGAGAGAGAAAGAAGAAACCGAGCTGAAGGTACCGGAATCCATCCCTCTATGCTCCCCAACTCTACCGGTACCTTCACCGTCGCCTCCTCCTACGACGCACCTCTCAGTTGCGCTTATCTCAGATCTGAAGCGTTCTGACAGATCGTCGACGGAGAGAGTAGATCTGAAGGTTTCTAGTATGGATGATCAATCGAGATCTACATCAGCTGCATCGCCGGAAAGTACAGATCTGGTTGGTAGAAAAACAGGGGTGAAGAGGCAAAGAGAAGCAAACAGATGTTCTGGTATAGGTTGCCGGAGGAAAGTCGGATTGATGCCGTTCCGGTGCCGGTGTGGGGAAGTGTTCTGCTCGGAGCATAGGTATTCCGATCGACATGACTGTAGTTACGATTACAAAGCAGCTGGTCGTGAAGCGATTGCTAAGGAAAATCCAGTGGTGAAAGCTGCAAAAATTCTCAAAGTTTAAAAATGGAAATTTGAAGTTTTTTTTTTTTTTTTGGTATTTTCAAAGTTGTTGAAGCAGTCAAGGGTGGTGGGTGGGTGGGAAATGAATGGTGGGGTGTTGTGTTGTAAATTTGATGAATGGATGAGGGTATTGTTGTCATTTTTAAGTTATTAAAATTATTAAAATAAGTTAGTGGAAATTTCTCTTTTTTTTTTTTTGGTTTTTATATTTTTGCTTTAACTTTGTGCTGCGTTGTACTTGTGTCATTTTCTCACATGAAAATTATTTATTATTCTTATTGATGGGACTATAGAAAAAGCTTTTCTTCATGAGAGGTTTTGAATTTGAGCTTTATAGTAATTGATAATCGAGTTTTCTCTTAGGCGATTAAAAGGTTTCGAATAGGAAAATGAAGAAACATGTGTTGTCAACAATAATGCGCGATGTGAATATTGTGGTTGGAGAGGGATGAAGTAAAATTGATTCATATTTGTATCGCAATGTTGAATCATCTTTCAGGAGAGCAAATAATCAAACTGTAGTCATAGAGAGTGTTAATATGATTTTTTTGTTTGCTGAATCTAAAATTTACTCATAAAAAAATGATTCTGTTATACAATCTTGGTATAATTACATTCTTTTATGTTTTGTTTATACTTAAAATGAAGTTAGAAAACTCTTAAACCTACCACTAAGGCGTTTTAGTTTAGTGGCATTACTAAAAATGAAATTCTTCCGCGCATTAATTTGCGATTATCTTTTTTTGTTCTTCTTTACTTTTGCAGCAAAAAAAGAGATTTAAGATTTGACATTCAAGCGATAGTCATTCTTTCTATCGGAGATTTTACCTTCTCATCTTCATCTATTCAACTCCAACAAAAATTTTGATCTTGTACCCGAAGTGCAAAAAAACATTTCCTTATTTTAATTTTAACTTAAAATAGTATTCCCAAAAAAAATATCCGAATAAATTCTAATTCCAAAACAATGGTTTAACTTCAATTTCAAATATTTTTTTTCCTCAAATTTTTCAACAATATTAGCCAAAAACATTACTCTTCTATCCACGTGGCAAACAATATGAGCAAAATTTCAAAGATTTGATATCTCCGCTTCACTAGTTGTACTCTTGGTCTTAAAGGTTGTACATACTTCATAGTGACAAAATTAGTTTCTATAAATAGCACAAGAAACTCTTACAATAATGGAAATCACTATTATAGTAGGTAGGGCAGCAGCGGTTTTCCATTACTTTTCTCTTCTGAGTTCTGTGGGCGCTTGATTTCCAACAAAAAGGTCAGTTTTTTTAATCTTTGATTAATACCCTTTTTTGATTTATGGTGATTAGTGCTATAATGAAATGTGATTAAATGAAATAAAATAAAAAAAATAAGGAATTGATAGTGTTGATCCCAATGATTTAAGATTTTGAGGTATTGATTGATTTTGTTGGTATGACACTGATATTGATTTGTTTGACCCCATGGATTTGTTTAGATCAAGAAGTTGTTGTATTTGAAATTGTATGTAAATTGGCATGTTTTTGTGTTTTTATTGAGTGTTTTGATGAGGGTGTGAGAATTTTTCAAGACCCTTTTGAGTTTCAGTTCTAAATGTTTGATTTTTTCTTAAAAAGATGATTTTTTTTTGTTATTGGGGTAGGGGAAGGGGAAACGGAGGGGATTACAAGGTGGGGGGAATTGAACCTTTGCTAAAGGTGAAAGTTGAGGTAGTCAACCAATTGAGTTACTAAGATTTCGTTTGATATTTGATTTGTGTTCTTGCTCGAGTTTAGATTCTTATATCAATCAAAGTGCTTATTCGATGCCTTGGCGGCTGGAATTATCAGATTTCTGGAAGCATGATTTTGATGAAGTAGCTATGTCAGTTGGTGTAGAAGGTTGGCTTGTGTTTGTGTTTCTTTGTCTGTCTTGTTGCGGGTGTGCGATTTTTTAGAACACTTTGTGGAGAAATTTTTGATTTTTACTTTGTACTTTTGCGGTTTATTGAAGCACTTTGGATTTCTTGGTAAAATTTTATCATTAATTCATCTTGGCGGCTGGTATCATTAGATTTGTGGAGGCATGATTTAGATGAAGTGGCTATTCCAGCTGCTGTAAAGAAATTCTACTTAAAAAGATTGTCTTGGAGCCCCCAGGTCTTTGTCTAGTGGTAAGATCGCTTCTTGTGATGTGTGGATTAGGTGCATATCACAGGTTCGAACCTTGGTGTAGAGGGGTGGGCCCATTATCCTCTGAGATTCGAATTGTGTAACACTCCCTTGGGGATTTCTCAGTTATAAAAAAAAGATTGTCTATTTGCATTTCTTTGAGTGTTTTGTTACCAATGTGTGCTTTTTTAGAACACGCCAGGTTCCTTCATTGAATGTGATCTTTGGTTTGTACTTTGTACTTGCTGGAATGCTGATGTCAAATGATTAATTTTGCTTATAGGATGTATGAAAACTAAATTGTTTCTTTGGAGTTTATTTTTGCCACTGAGATTGATTTGTGGAATCAAATCATTCTCCACAGCCTTTTAGAGCTTTATGTTTACATCAAATAGCTGCTTGAGCTTCTGTAATGTAGTATTCTGAAAAATTGGCGTGCAATTAAATTTCTTCTAGTGTCTTGATATGGGGTATGAATATCTTTAAGAACCCTCTTTTGGTTTCTAGGTGCTACCTCTCATACATACACACTAACACACATTCTTTTTAATCACTGATTATCAAGTTGAATAAACCAAGTTAGTTTAGATACATTCAAATGTGTACTTATGCGAATGTTATAGCACATAATTTGTCATCAGTTGAGAAATACTTCTTGCCTGAAGCCTGGACATGGGATCACCGAGTGTGTGACTCACCTGAAAAGGTAATTGAGTTTCATTCAAAGCAGTATGTTGCTTTTGATAAAATGTTACTGCAAGGCTATGAGTGATGGTACAGATAGAGGGGCTTATGTACCTAATTCGTTGATCCTCCACAAATTCTCTAATGGTGCGAAAGGCACAT